ATATCAACTGATTGTATCAAATCACTGAAGGCTGTGATCGCCTCCTCCAAGAAATCCGTTCCAACCTAGAACATCAAATCGACGGTGTACAAAGGATGAATAAATTTATTGCTAAAAAACCAAATAACCCTACCTTTTCATCCTCTACGACACACGCTATTTGGAGTTTCTTAATTCCATATGCGAGGGGAATTAATTTTGATTGACCCCAGACAAGACCATCACAATGAACACTGCGGACAGCCTCCTCCATTTTGGCCATGTCCGTTTCATCATCCCAAGGCTTGATGTCGAGAATAATGCTTGATTTGGCGACCACTGCAGTCTTATTTTTCTTCTTTTCTTCATATGCCTTGACTCTTTCAGCTTTCATTTGAGCTGCTGCGGCATCCTAAAACGAAAAATAATTTGTTTATAGGGTAAAAATGCATAAAACAAGATGACGGTAAATGCTTACATCCTCACTATCAGAAGCAAAAAGATTTACATCTTCATCCCCAGCCTGTTTGTTTTCACTAGAATTAGCAATTGCTGAGGTAGATTTGGGAGGAAACTTATCAGAGACAGAGGCAGCCATCGATGTGAATGTTTTGAACTCGATTGCTAACTGATTAACCCGATTCACAATAGCCTGAACAGCTAATAAAATTAACAAACTGCAAATAGATCAGCAAAATTAAAATAAATACCAACTATTCTGACCTAATAACGACTTACTCATTTCAAGTTGGTCGAGTCGAGACATATTAGGGGGAGTTGCTGGTGCCTAAGAAAAAACCCAGTTAAATAAAAATACCTCACTTCTATTTGAGATTTTATTAGATCTCTTGCCTTCTGAATTTCTTTCACTATAATTGATTCACCCGACTGAAAATAAAGAACGGGTAAGCCAAATTTCGTCTATCTACGAGCAACACATGCAAGAATAATCACCTTGGAAGGAGCCTGAACTAATTGTTCAGGCTTTTCCTGCGACAAATAAGCAATATAATCGCGCTCAAGATTATCGAAATCAAAAAGCTTCTGGAAATGTTCGCAATCAGCAAGCAGGGCCTTGTCCATGATAAGGGGTCACGCTGTGAATTTACAAATGTGCTGCTAAAAAGTAGTAAAGAAACAATGTAATCAAACTATCAACAATTATATTTTTTTATTAATGTTATTATATTCGACTTGTAAATTTGTAGACAGATCAATACTAAAATAATATATATATGAAACCAGCGTTTGATCCTATTATTGAAAATAAATTGCATAGGACCAGATTTATCAGAGCCAGATTTTTAAGGGGACTTTCATTTCGTATGATAGTGAACGAAGAACAGATTCGTTGGTCAATCTCACCAAATGAGGACGGATGAATCTCGTTATACTTCAGCCGTTTGGCTTTTATACGATATTCATGTTGACGCAGTCCACAAAACTTCCTCTATCGTTTCAGGTGAAACCGTGCTGAGCTTTCATCCATCATATGATGGACATTATCAGAGCTAGGTGTCATTCTTGTAAAAGTATCACGTTAAAACTAGAGCAAGAACATTATCCGGACTGGTAGAAACATTTTCCCACAATGATACGAGTTGAGATGACGTTTCCATTGAATTTCACATAGCCTTGTTTTCCAAAAACTTGTTCTCATCCAGGGTGGACTGCAGTTTCGACCTCGCATCGATCTTATCAACACCCTCAGCGGGAGTCGA